AGTGACTTGGAAATGTTTGTATGAGAACACTTACTATATTCCACTGCTTTTTAATTAAAAAAAAAAAGAGATATAAAAATACAAACAAAAACGTACGTGTCAAAGCTATGAAGCTCAATGAATGATCACAAAGCACTCATGTAACCATCACCCAGAGCAAAGGTTGGCACACTTTTTTTGTAAAGGGTCAGATGTTACTGTTTTAGGCTTTGTAGACATATGAACTACTGCTTAATGCTGTCGTAGCAAAAGCAGTAATGGACAATAGTACACAATAGGATATGGATGTGTTCCAAAAAGACCTTGTTGACAAAAAGAGAAGGAAGGCCAGCTTCGGTCTGTGGGCTATAAAGTGCACACCCCTGACCTGGACCAGTTCCAACCCAACCCTCCATTAATGACTATTTCTTTCTTCTCCCAGAAGAGAAGCACTATTGTGACACGTATAGCAATTGCTATTTTTCTTCATAATTTTACCATTGAAGCATGAATCCCCAGTTATTTTTGATATTCATATAAATGAAATTGTATACCATCTGTTCTTTTATATCTGAATTTTTTCACTCCATACTACACTTGCGGAATTTATCCATGTTATTGCATATAGCTATCGTTCTTTGATTTTCATTGGAAAGTATTCCATCATATAAATTTATTTTTGAATTGTGGTATTAGGTTAATTTTAGTTTTTTACTGTTATGAGTTATTATTGTGCAGCTACGAACAGTCTTACACACATATCTTCATGCACAGGCATGTACTTCGGTTTCTTTATATCCTACCATCAGTGTGTGAAGTTTCTAGTTGTCCCACATCCTTGCCAATTCCTGCTATTCTTCTCCTCCTTTTAAAATTGTAGCTGTTCTGTCAGATGCGTGGTGGTACTTCATTGTGATTTTAATCTGCATTTCCTTTTCTGATTAATGAGGCTGAACCCTTTTCACATTTGTATTGGCCATTCAGACATCCTCCTTTGTGAAGGCTTTATCTTTTTACTTATTGATTTATGATAAGTTCATTTTATTTTCTGGACACAAGCCATTTACTGATTATATGTGTGGCAAATAACTTCTCCCAGATTAAAATTTATCTTTTCTCTTTATTTATGTTATCTTTCAATGAGCATCAGTTCTTAATTTTAATAGCATACAACTCAATATTTTCCTTTATAATGATTCTTATGTCTCATCTAAGGATTATTTTTCTGCTTTGAATAGATTACATCAGCTAAATTTTTTAAAGCTTTTACATCTGACATATAGTTAATGGAATACTGATTTTATGTGGTATAGAACAGAAGTCAAGACTGTTTTTTGCCTTATGAATATTTGTCCCAACACTATATATTTAAAGGATCTTCCTGGACTTCTGCCAAGATGGAGGCGTAGGTGGAAGCACTGCACCTTCTTGCAAAACCAAGTTTAAAAACAATAAAGTTTTAGCAACAAAAATACAGCCAAACCACAGAAAATTGAACTACATGGAAGTCTGACAACAACGAACCCTTCAGCCAAAACGGTAAGAGGGACAGAGCCAGCAGCAGAGTGGAGTCAGGCAGGAAAGATCCACCGGACCAACCCGGGTGCACGACCCAGGTGTGCCAGCAGCCGTGGGTGGATCCCAGGTGTGGAGAAGCGGGCGGACCCACTGAGGGTTGACTGTGGTCACACATTTGCGCAAAGATAAACCGGTGAAGGAGCGAGCGGTGAGACGGACCTCGCAGGCCCCAGTGGCAGGAAGAGGCAGAGGGAACTGCCATTGTCCCTCTCTGACCCCGCCCCCACCTACAGCGTCACAAATGAGTGACCTGGGTGGCCCCACCCTGGTGAACATCTAAGGTTCCGCTCCTCATACGTAACAGGCATGAACAGATCAAAACATGGCTCAAGAACAACTCAGAGCCCCAGAGCCGATAAATCTAAGCGATGAAGAAATAGCCAAAATTTTAGATGCACAGTTCAAAACACTGGTGATCAGGATGCTCACAGAACTGGTTGATTTTAGTCACAAATTAGAGGAACATATGAAGGCTAAACTAATTGAAATGCAGGGAAATACACAGGAAACCAATAGTAATGGAAAGGAAACTTGGGCTCAAATCAAAGGAGTGGACCAGAAGGAGGGAAAAAAATGACCAAACAGAAAAGGATGAAGAAACAAGAATTCAAAAAAATGAGGAGAGACTTAGGAACCTTCGGGACATCTTTAAACGTTCCAACATCCGAATTATAGGGGTACCAGAAGGGGAAGAGGAATAGCCACGAGTGGAAAACTTATTTGAACAAATAATAAAGGAGAACTTCCCCAATCTGGCTAAAGAAATAGACTTCCAGGAAATCCAGGAAGCTCAGAGAGTCCCAAAGAAGTTGGACCCAAGGAAGAACACACCAAGGCACATCATCATTACATTAGCCAAGATTCAAATGAAGGACACAATCCTAGAAGCAGCAAGAGATGAGGGGGCAGTCACCTACAAAGGACCTCCCATCAGACTGTCAGCTGATTTCTCAAAAGAGACCTTAAGGCAAGAAGGGGCTGGAAAGAAGTATTCCAAGTCAGGAAATCCAAAGACCTACATTCAAGATTGATCTATCCAGCAAAGCTTTCATTTAGAATGGAAGGGCAGATAAAGTGCTTCTCAGATAAGACCAAATTCAAGGAGTTCATCATCACCAAGCCCTTATTATATGAAATGTTAAAGGGACTTGCCTAAGAAAAAGAAGATAAAAAAATATGAAAAGTGAAAGGACAGCAAACTCACAGTTATTAAGAACCACACCTAAAACAAAAGCAAACTAAGAGGACAGCTAGATCAGGAGCAGAACCATAGAAATGAAGATCACATGGAGGATTAGCAACAGGGGAGTGGGAGAAGGAGAAGGGGGGAGAAGGTACAGAAAATAAGTAGCATAGATGGTAGGTAGAAAGTAGATGGGGGAGGGTAAGAATAGTATAGGAAATAATAGAATCTAAAGAACTTGAGACATGTGGTCATAAACTGAAGGGAGGGAATGGTGGGGGAGGGGGGTGCAGGGTGAAGGGGAATGAAGGGGGGAAATAGAACAGCTGTAATGGCATAATTAATAAAATATATTTAAATAAATAAATAAATAAATAAAGGATCTTCCTTTACATAGTACTTTATAGTGTCTTCATTTTATTTCCATAAATCAGGTATTGACATAAATGGGTCTTTTCCCCCCTGAAATCTCTATTATTTTAATTTTTGTCTATTTGTCTATCCTTGTATACCTTAATTACTGCCTTGGGCAAATCTTGGCCCTTTGACTTTCCAATTTAAAAAATACAGATGAATGGACAGACCAAATAAAACCATTAAGGAAAATAAGAGCTGAAAGCTAGAAGAAGGAAGAGGAAGAAGCACAGTGGGTTTGATTAAAACAGGGTTTTTTAAAACGGGAAGTCAACGTAAAGATGAGGAAAGTATTGGATTTATAAAGTGGTGGGTCAGGTATCACGGAACTTCAGGGAATGAGTAGGGAAGAAGTTCAAGCAGCAAAATCATCACTGGGGGGGAGGGGGCGGGTGTGCTAACAGAGTAGCAAATTATTAGTGTATAACTGATACTGTCAAACTCTCTTCTGTATTTTATCCCATTAAAGACTACTACTATTTATCAGAGGAAATAATCCACCTTGAAGATGTTACAGTAATTGTGGGATACATATAACAATAGGATGTTCTGTACATAATATTCCTACATGGGAAAGAGGACGTAGTACTTGAGTTCATTCCAGTAGTTTTGTTGTGTTTAAGAGTATCCAGTACTTTTGTCACCCTGACTCCAAATGTGCCCATAAGCCATTTGACCCACTACCAGAGACAAGGCTTATTAACTCTCTCTCAAAATGGACTACTTTATGTTTAAAATTAAGTGGCCTTTCCTTGGCCTCATTAGTATAACTGGACTTAGTATACTTAGTCCAGTATAACTGGACTTAGTATAATTCTGACTGAAAGGCCTACCTCTTGTTACAAAGCTTTATCAAAGTTATACTGTTTACGGACAAAACTGAGAACTGCAAAAGCAAACAACTTGCCCCAAATCACACAGCAAATAAAGCAAGGTTTCTGGATTCCAGCTCGGATCCAACTCATTTCAGGACTTAGTCCTTCCACTAACTGGTACACCGATGTCAACCTGTGTTCCTTTGAGCAGTAGGAGCAGTCCGCATTACCAAAGCACTCAGCGTAAATACGGGCACAAATACTTAAAGAACACCGTGGAATACCATGAGGGCAGTAATGTACTAAGGGTAGGTACAAAGTGTTATAGAAACACAAAGGAGAACAGTTACCCCTTTGGGAGTCCCTACCACTTAGCAGGCATCGTGCTAAAAATCCTGTATATACCCTTACAGTATATACTTTCATATTCATGAAATATGAATAAAGCCCGTTTCACAAACTTAAACTGGTGCATGTAAATGCACCAAATTGTACAATGGTTAAGTAACTGCGTTTGGCCCCAGTGATCCTGAGAAACTCCACGCTGTATTAAGTAAAAAATGCAGACTTTGTAATCACCCGACTCGGGATGAAATCTGGCTCTGACGTCTCTTAATTTTGTTACCTCCTGCCAAGTCTCTCAGCCCAGAGGCCAGTCTAGAGAAACTCAATCCGTCCGCCGCTCGCGGGTGCCAGGTTCCTAGTCTTCAGCCTCCCGCAACACAGATAGCGCGCAATTAGATCCCACCAAGCAGGAGGCACCGCCCCTTCCGGAATCCCGCCCGAACGCTTCTTCCGGAAGCCTTTGGGCTCTCACCTCTCCAACTCGGACACCAACAGGACTACACCGTCGCAGAGGGTCTTGTTCTCGAGCAAAGCGCACGTCACTGCGTGGACAAACATGACTGAATTCTCCGATCCACGTGGACTCCTTGCCAAACAGGCCCAGCGCGCCCACCCCCAATGTCTGCGGCTCAAACTGCCTCCTGGACAAGAACATGCTCTTTTCGCACTCCAAGCTCACTGTCCTTTTCCAAGACCTCCCGTCAGGCAAGAGCAATCGATTCTTCGTAACCTACTCCGGCAACTCCCCCGGAAATTGCAGAGCGAACTGTTTGCTTCCGGGACGCCGGCGTGCAATTGGGATTTAGAGATTTGAACTCTAAGCTCCTTTCGTGTTCCAGTTCTTGGCTGAAGTCTTTTAAGGCACAGAGCCGCTCAATAAAATCAGCCAAGGAAAATTATTATAAAGGTAATACTCTAGTCTCCGGCTATTTGTGGAATGGGGAGTTTATCAGCATAATGTATTGTTTAAAAGTCTTAATTGCTACGAAGTGTTAGGTTGATTGGTAGCAAACAGTGTACTGTCCTGCGATCGTCGAACCGTTAATGCTAGTGCTTTAACTTCCAGTTAGCCTTTAAACTTCAAGCATCTATGAATGCCTGTATTTCATTCATTCAACAGCCATCCAGCACACCTTTTTTTGGTCATTAGAAAGCTTGAGGAAGACAGATTAAAACATACCTATATGATCCCTGCCCTAAAGAAGCTGGCAATCTAATAGGCACGCAAGTGAAAGCGTGCCTAAGGTACGAAGGTAACCTAGGAAATCGCCCCTACAGGGGAGGTTCTCCTGGGTAAGTCAGAGAAAGCCTCCCCTATCAAGGATTATTTGAGATGACCTTGTAGAGTGCAGGTGACATAGAATAAGATGTTCCATGGTATCCCTGAAATCTTCCCATCTGCCCTTGCCTCTCTATTACCACTGAAACATATCTGGTTTAATTTCTTACTACCTTTCCATCTATTAAAGACACCCCTAAGTGGTCTCCAGAAGAGAAATTCCTAATCCCCAATAGCATAGTCTACAGGACTATGGGGTCAACTAAGGAAAGAAAAAAAAGGAAAGAAAACTTCATTGTAATGTTCAAGTTTTATCTTTGACACTACTGGAAGTTACCTAGAAGAAATAAATGATGATGAGATTCTCCTACTTTTACCTGCAGTCTGCATTCTGATTTTCTTAGCAAGAAATCTGGGGCCTTTTGTCCTATAACTTTGACCTGGTTCCTGCTACTATCTCCAAACTCCATCCTAGAGGAGACACTGTTCCCTGAGTATTCCCTGAACTTCTGTGACTTCAAATGCAGCTCCAGGGAAACCAGGTCCATGCAGGCAATGTAAGTTAACGCCTCCTCAGAATCTTAACTATATCTACCTACCTATCTATCTATCTATCTATCTACCTATCTATATACACACACACAAACAAAACACTTATTCTACTCTACAATTTTTCATTTATAAAGTCAGTGCCTTTGACGATACATAAGAATATAAGCAACATGAAAAGAGAAGAGAGTCTTACTGTTTGACTCCTCAGCATCTAGAAAATTCCTGTCCAATGAACAAGTGTTCAGTGTTCATTGAATGAATGATGTGGAATATTTTAATAAAACCATTGCTTTGATTGAGTGAGTGCTGTGAAGGAGTTCTGAGGCATGTTTTGTTCGAAGAGAGTTTCTTCCTTGCCTTAGAAAAAAGACAGCTGGAGTGAGCCAACAGTGGTAAACCAAGGTTTTAAGGCTTCTGGCTCTGTACTGCCCCCTATAGAGAAGCCTGCACCATGCCAGGTGAGGCTTATTTAACATCCTTGGACTTGCACACTTAGAGTAAACACACTGTCTAGGGCACAAAGGTGGACAGTCACTGCAAAAGTCCTCAGAAGTGTTGAGAAATGTTTCAGCACAGGATTCAAAACAACCCTCTTCATAGGTGACTCCCAGCTGCTTTTAACTTTACTTCTTGTGCTGCCTTGTGCCACATCCCCATAATTCACATACTTGTTTCTTTACTGAGGTGTGAAATGTACATTTGAAGGAGGCCTTTAGCTCGTTGGAATCATGTCTGAACCCAGCACCAGAATGATACTTGTAAGTCATGTCATTCTTCTGCTCAAAACTCTCCAATAGTGCCATTCCTTTCAGAGAAAATGCAAAGGCCTTAGAATTGCCACCAAAGCCTATGATCTCTCTCTGCCCTTCTCTCTTTACCTCTCAGTTCATCTCTCCTGTTATTCTCCCCCTGCATCACTTGGCTTCAGTTCTACTTGCCTCCTCCATTTCCCTAACCACACTCCCACCTGAGGGCCTTTGCACTGGCTGTTTCCTCCGCCTGGAGCCCAGTTACCCCAGAGATGCACATGGCTAATGTCCTTCCTTCAGATGTTCACGCAAATCTCATCTCAAGGAGGCCTACCCTGGGCACCCTATTTAAAATGATAACCTGCTGTCCCTTCTCCTACAGACTCTCAAATCCTGTCATCTTTCTTTTATCCCTATAGCACTCATCAATTTTTAACATACCAGAGAATGTACTCATATGTTTATTATGTAATACTTATATCCGGCTACTAGAATATAAGGCCCATAAAGGTAGGGATCGCCTGGCTAGTATAGCCCAGTGGACTGAGTGTGGACTGGGAACCAAAAGGTAGGGGATCTCTTTCTGTTGTTAACATTGCTGTTTTCCAAATGGGAGACTATTGCCTGGCTTATAGCAGTCACTCAATAAATAGTTGTCACATTAATTAATCCTTGTCATCCTCTCTGCTAGACCTTATCCATGGTGGAAACCCCCTGGTCTGCCTGACTGGTGACTTTCTAACGTTTTATTCAGCCCAGGATCTGTAATGTTCTTGCTGCCAGTAAGGCATTTTGTGCCTTTCCTTAGACTCATAAAGTGATACCAAAAAAAAAATTGATCAGTAGTTGCCTTGCAAAATTACCACATTTGGGGACCATACTTAAGTTATCCTCATTTTGAGTAGGCTCAGAGTATAAATGTTTCCATTCTTAGTTATTTTTTCTTCAAAGAACTTATTTTCCCACTGCAATCCTTGTGCCTATCAGGAACCTAATTCCTAGCACCCAGGTGTATTTTTGTGCGTTGCAACATACCATAAGACTGATTTGAACAGAGAGGCTGGAACCTGAATTTAAATCAGATATCCATTAGTTGATGAGATCAAAGAGAACTTAAATGAGCCCATTTCCTGCACACAAGTCAGTGTACATTGCGGTGAGTCAGGGTCTGCTTGTGCTGGGGTTTGCAGACCAAGCTGGAGCGGCCAAGCCTGCCCTGCCCCCACATGCGGAGGCAGGCAGCAGAGTCCTCCCCGCGAACCTCACAGACGTACTCTCCTTTAACTGACTTGCCAAGTGCCAGAAACCTAGTCTCCGAAAGAGAAGAGTCTCTGAAATGTAATTTAAGAAACCAATGAATTCCTTTGGAGTTTTTTGGGGAATATTTTCCATAACATAAGAGAAGAATAAATGGTTACAAGACTTTGATTTCACTGGCTATATACTGAGATACGAAATAAAATAAATGACAAGCTAGGTAGGTACTAAAAGTTTAAATGAGTTATGTTAAGATTGTTTCACCATCTACAAGCAGTTCAAAATGAACCCTTCTCTTTTCCAAGTTCTCATTCCTCATGAACAGAGCAGAGGAAGAAATGGGCCTTGGGATCTGGGAGTGGAGCTGGAAGTACTGGAGGGTAAAAGGTGAGAATGCTGGTTTTCTGCCCATAGTATGTTCCAGGAAGACCCACTCCCTTCCCCTACCACACAAACACATACACACACACAGCACGGCGTTGCAAAGCAAGGTGGCCTTCCTATGAAATCCGTTTCCTCCTTGGGACCCGTGGTCTGACACAGATCTGGGACAATCCCTAAGATCTACTCTAGTTACTCAATGTCAAGGAAAGTAGAGAAGTGGAGCCCAAAGAGGTTTGTGGAGCAGCAGTCTGGTGCCGGGATCACAGACTGGACTCTCAGCACACCCGGTGCTTACCGACACCCCTTACACAGGTATGCCCCCCTCCCCCAGGTTTCATACCCGGGGCACAAACTCACTTCCAAACAGCGGTGTCTCTGTCTTGTTTGCTTTTGGCTGTAGCTATTCTCCTTTTCCCTGTTCACAACCATCCACCCATTCATTCAGTCACCATTTTTTAAGCATGTATTTACCGAGCACCTGCTCGCAGGGGCTTGTATTCTCACCCTCACTCACGAATAGAGACAAGCAGAATTTATCACTTTTGGGGGGAAAATAATGGTTCCCACCCAACCTTTTAAACAGGGTGAACAGAAGGACAGTCTTCAACTGGTAATGGAGGTAACTGGATTGCCGTCCAGAATCTTCCACTACAGCTGTGTGACCTTGGGCACATCGCCCTTCTTCTCTGGCCTCATCTTCCCTCGGTGTGAAATGAGGGTCTTAGTCCAAGATAGGTGATCTTTATGTTTCTTTCTCATGTTCACATTCTCTAACTCTCTGACACTTGAATAAACATAGGCCCTGTATGCAGTATTTCTGGGGCTGTATCAGGAGCTGGCTTGAACCTATGGAATGGTACAGTGCTTGGCTATCAGTGTAGGCCTCCCTGGTCTTCACATTCCAGAACTTCAGAGGCAGGTCGTGGTAAAAGTGACTCACATAGCACAGCAAAGGAAGCAGGAAAGGGAGGGGACAACTGTGGTGGTTTCCTGTCCTCCCTGATGGGCAGGGAAGGGGAAGCCAGCAGGTAGAGGGGAGAAGGCTGCCTTTGGGCCCTTCTCAGTGGTGTACGGTCCAAGGAACTGGTGAGGAGTATGCACCTTTACAGAGGCTTTGTCAAGACTCTTTTCCTGTGTGTTAAAACGGTCACAGTCCAATACAATCAGCCATAAAAATCACCAGACAAGCCCCGAGAACCTCACTGTTGGGCTTGTGCTGGCAAAGTATTTTGATTTCTGAAAAGTCAGACATCTTCTCAGCGTCCAGTGTGGGGCTTGGAGTCTCATCTCTTGTGCTCCCAATGCCTGAGGGAAACTTTGATTTGCCCGATAGACTCCTGGTTAAATCCACTCCCAAATCCCAAGACTCCTAGACATTGTCCCTTGTCCCTTCAGTACCCAGGAGTAAATGTCCTCCCTGGGTACTGAAGGACAAGACACAGTCTGGCAACGCAGGCTGAGCACAGGCCTCCCTTACCTGCCCAGCGCTGCTGCTGCCCTGGAGGGCCCCTCCCCCTCAGACTCCCATTGCGGGGGGCAGTGGCTGGTGCGCCTGTGCCTGTGTGCACCCGTGTCAGTGTGTCTGTGAAGCAGCAGGTTCAAGGGACCAGGGAGAGGACTTGATTTTCCTTCCTAGAGCCATCTGATGCAAAGTAGCTCCCGTTGCTTGTGGTTAATATATCTGGGCAAGGAAAAGGGAGCTGAAAAGGAACAGGAGGGAGCTGACCAAGAAGTACAAAGGCAGAAGGAAATAAGAAAGAGAGTGGACCCTGGCTGGTGTAGCTCAGTGGATTGAGCGCGGGCCTGCAAACCAGACAATCGCGGTTCGATTCCCAGTCAGGGCACATACCAGGGTTGCAGGCCAGTTCTCAGCAGGGGACACATGAAAAGCAAGGGGACGCATGAAAAGCAACCATACATTGATGTTTCTCTCCTTCTCTCCTTCCCTTCCTCCCCTTTCTCTCTAAAGATAAATAAATAAAAGAGATAAATAAATAAAAGAGAGCAGAGCCCAGCTCAGACACAGGTGGTAGGCACAGGTGGTTGGCAGCTCCTCAAAACTCCACACGTGGAAGACTGCCCCCTCTGTGGTCGCCTGGGTTTCCTCTGTGGAGTCCGGGACTGCTGTGGTTCTGCAGGCAGCAGACACCAGCCTCTCCTTGGGGAGGCGGCCCTGCACAGAGGATGCAGTTGCTCGGGTAGCTGAGGCGATTCACGCAGCCTGGAGTCCCTGGAATCCCCTGGCCCCACAGTGTCTAAAGGGAGAATGCCGAGAGAGAACAAGTGAGGATTCACTATTTAGGGACCCCTGTGGAGAGTGCAGCCCTACAGCAGACCTGGACCTGGATAATGGAAGCGGCCAGTACCCCAAACTCGGTGTTGTATGGTCTTCGCTCGCCCTCTGGTGGTGTGAGTCGGTGACTGATGCTGGGAGCATCCAAGACATGCCTCCTAACCTTCGGGTCCTCCAAGTCTGGTCTCCATTCAAGTTCTAGAGGAAACCCATTCCAGAAACCTTTGTCCATGTGCATCCTATCATTCAATAATGCTTCCAGAAGGTTAAAATAAACATTGTTTAAGGGTCAAACGGCAGAAAACAAGCCGGAGAAATTTGTTTCACCGAATTTTTTGAAGCGATGACTTGAAACAATGCTTATCAGCTGTAAACAGGTTATTTTCCATCTACGACCAGTAATAATAACAACCACTGCCTTATCACCCATCTTTTCTTTGCCTGGTTGGCACAGACAACTAACTACAAAACTCCATGTTACACATGCAGTGAGGGAGACGCGGGAGGGTTACGTGACGCGTGGCAGACTGCAGTTTGCGGCGGGACAGCCCCACACGGCGGACCGAGCCAAGGTTCCAGTCGGGTCTGTCGTTTTACATGGTTTCCCACTGCACTTCGCTGTCTGCAGAAGGGACACACGAGGTCACTTAGATATATGTTTCCACACGGGATTAATTGCTATTTATAGATGGCTGGGCAATGCTATTAAAATACTATTTTAGATGTGACATTTTAATAAGAACTTGTCACTAATAATTATTTCTTATTTAATAATAATACTTAACATCCATTGATCGCTTTCTCTACACCAGTTGTTGTTCTAAGAGCTTTACATAATCAAATCACACTAATTCTGTTTTATCTTCCCGTGTTCCATATAAGGAAACTGAGGCACGAAATAGCTAAAGAATTTCCCCCAGATAGTGCATATATATATACTACATTTATGTGATATAAAGCTCCTCAGTATTGTCCCTCACTACTTCCCTGTGCCAGAAACCAGCTTATTTGCAGAGGATCTGGGGAGGGGTGCAGTGCTTTGCAGGAGCTGGGGAAAAGCTGTCTTGCTGTGCATGGAAATATACTGAGTCTGAAAGAAAGTGGGGTGGACAGCATGTGTCAGGAGGGTGTTGGATGAGCAAGAGAAGATCCAGCAACAGAAAAGTCAGGACCCATCGAGATGGGACCCTTCTCAGGGAAATGGCCCCGTGAGAAGAGGGTGAGGTGCCCAGGCTGGACTTTGGTGGAAGAGAAATTTAGTAAGTGGATTTCTGAAGTTATTCACTCATTGTATGGTGTGCAGCGCAAAACTTCTCTATGAAAACTTCAGTAAATTTTACACTGATTACTAATACTTTGTCAGGAACCTGAGTTTTCTTTAGGTTGGAGTACTCAAAGACAATGATAGAACCTTACCAATCAACTGCATTATAATCTGAAATGCTCCCATGGACTCTCAAAAAAAAAAGTATCGATGTCAGATCAACATATTAATTTCTTACCAGGAGCTTGAAAGACCAGGGAAAAGACCTTTCTTATCAGGTCAGCTCAGAAAGCACTGTCTCTGATGTTGTAGTAGAGAGGAGAGACGAGACTGGGCAGGATTCTCCGCGCTTGAGGTTTACAATCCTACCAAATCCTAATGCCAGCCTTGTAAGTGAATACACCTAAAGTGCCAATCTTATTAGTTATAATAGTTTTCAGTGGATTTCTTAGAATGTTATATACACAGGACCATCTACAAATAGAGATCATTGTACTTATTTCCAGTCTAGATACTTTTAACTTCTAGAATTTCCCTTGATTCTTAAAATGTCCATTTCTTATATTGCCCATCTGTTCTTGCACGATGCGTACTTCCTCCATTAGAGCTCTAAGAATTATCCAACTCTCAGTCTGATAATCCCAACATCCGTGCCCTATGTGAACAGGATTCTCATGCTTGTTTTATCTTCCAGACTGTGCACTTTGTCTGTCAGTGTGCCTTGCAGTTCTTGTTGAATTGGACATGGTACCCCACTGGACTGGGTAAAACTCCAGCGAATGGGCCTTTAATGGTGGGCAGTGATGTGGACAGAAAGAGGGAATGTTCTATAATCTTATGATCAGGTGTTTTAGTGATCATGGGCCCCTGGGATGTGACCTTCACATCTCTCAGTCTTTCTCCCCCCGCCCCCACTCAGGTTAAGACAGGAAGCCTAGAGGGGGCAGGCGTTGCATTGCTTCCCTTACCCCATCTGGTCAGCCTCTGGTAAAACCCAATGTGGTCTGGCTCCAGCAAAATACTCGTAGCTTCCTTTGAGGCCAGGCTTTTGATAAAAGCAGACCTGGGGGCAGGGGGCATACTTCTGAATGATTACTGCCCACTTCCCTGCTAGAAACACGGGGACATTTTTCTCTTTCTCTAAGTCACTGTGAGAACCTGGTGCACCCCCAGCCTGATCTCGGTATAACTTACCAAGTTAGTTCATGCCCAGACTGTCAACTGCCCTTTAAACAGTCCCCCTGATGCCGCTCCGTGGCTTCCCCTCCACGCAAAGTGTGATTTTCTTTATCTGCCTCACATGTTCAGGGTGGTGGTTTTGTCTTGTGACCTCAGTTCCTTCGTGGATCAAACACCCATGGATTTTCAGTTTTTCAGCCTTTTTCTCTGTTGTTAAGATTGAAGTTACGATTTCCAAGGTTCCTACTTGTTGAACTGGAAATCAGAAATCTCCTATTTTGTTTTTTAAGAAACTGCCAAAATATTTTCCAGACTGGTTACATACATTGTGTTGGCCAAAATGCTTTTAATTTTTTCTGTAAAATAAAAGACACGTTTTTCATTTTCACCAATAACTTCATTGATTTGGATATTTTGAGTATGTTGGCTATAGGTATAACGTTGCTTGTTCTCAATGTCTCAGTTTGATGGCTCTCAACTTCAACTGGTACCTGAGCATCGTCCAGCAAGAAATCTCGAGCACGAACCTTCACAAACCACTTTTGACACGTTCGATCAGTCACAGTACCTTCTCCATACACTGCACAAATCCTTTTTGTTTCCCTTCCTTGAAATAATAAAGTGTATGCTGAGAATGTTATTTTCTTCCATCTTCAATATTAAAATAACTACACTAAAACTGACCAATTTTGATGTTTTTTTAATGCACTGATCTGACAGCTGTCACAATACAATCTAACAAAATTGTTTTGAATGAAGTTAAAGATAACTAAGTGCTACTAGGGCCTTAGGAAAAAAGGCTCTAGTATCTTAGAGCCTTATCTTAGGGAAAAAAACAAATGAACTTTTTAGCCAACCGAATACAAAAAAACCTAACTTTCCTCAATTCTATCCTTTTGCATGGCATTTAGATCATAGCAAACACAAAGTTAAAAAAACAAACTAGTCTGCATGTAAGGCATAAAGCTTTACCTGAAATTGGTGTTTCCCAAACTGTACTCAGCAGTGGATTACCTAAACTGCTGTGTCTGTATGTAATATGTAATACTTTGTGACTTTTATCTAAACCAGGAGCAATATAATCATCTTAACACATTTTAACAGCATCAATACAATCATTAAGTGATGCTTCAGAAACTGATTAGCACACCATGTGAGGTATTATAAATGAAAACAAGATTCTTACCACACGGTGGTATCACTTTCGTAGGCAGGTTTGACATAAAATCACTGCTTGGTGCAACTAAGAAAAGTTAGATCCAGACCTACTGTTCTCATCAGGAATCAGACTAAGTGTCAAAATGCTGTCCCAGTGGCTAGTGGAAAAGGAATATGGGTGCACATTTGAGAGTGTAAATAATGACAGTCTGTAAGCAGCAGTGTTCTCATTTTTATTGAGTGGTGTAAAATACATGTGGTCAACACTGTTACTTTCACTGGCAAATGGCAGAGTTGGGAAGCAAAAAACTTGTACTTGATTTTTTAATCAAGATTATCTGTTATCAACTTACATCCAGGCTTCTTCTGAAGGTCTGAAATTTTCTCTCCACCGGACAGGAGTATGTAGTGAGAACTCAGTTGATAACATTTTATTTAAATTAAAAAATAAAAAAGGAACCAGCACAGTCAAGTGGTCTTCGTCTTCAGGGTTTCTGGATTTCGTCCCTGGAGGAGGTCGGGATCTTCCCACGGCCTGGGTCCTCGAACATTCTTCCAGTCATCGAAAGTGGAATCCTTTATTTTCTACGGAGGCACAGATATTAGAGTACACACATTAGTGAAGGGTTCCTGTGGCTTTGATCAGGACATGGCTGAATAAGTGAGTGGGAAGAATCCAATAGACCCCAATTATGATTTGAGCAAACAAAAACTGCATGTCAAGCATAGTCACTGAAGAAATCAAGTATTTCTTAGCATTTGGAATTTTTCTTGCTTGCTATTGATGTAAATGCCTATCTTTACCCCATGAGAATAAAACTAGTACACATTTTTAAAAGAGTCTAGATGCTTTGTTTCTGAGAGAACAAAGAAAGGAAAGAAGCTAGGAAAACAAACATCCGACTCGGAAGCCTGATCCAGCCTAACAGTGAGCACACAGGGTGCACGGGCAGCAGTGGTAGATGAGAGGGAAAGAACCAAGGCGGAGACCTTCGAATCTGCTGGGAGGGAGAAAACAGACCACGATGATCTGCCTCGCACCTGAGAAATGAGCCCGGGCTTAAGAATGAAAAGACGCTCCCTGGGGCTGCCACGAGCAGAGCCCTTGTAGGCAATACAAACCAGCTCAACTACAGCTGGGCCACTGCGCCTTCGGTTAATCTGGTCCACCAAGCCCCAGAAGAATGGTAGGATAAAAGGGGAGAACATAAGTGTTTCCTCACCCTTCTGACAGTAACTGTCATTTATCTGCTTTGACTGTTCTGGAATATTGAGTGAACAAGACAGTAAGAGGCTCAGAGAACTCAGGACAGGGAATAATGTAAGTTTACCCTGACATCTGGATACTAAGATTACTTTCATTAATGAGCTGTGTAGCATTGAAGCCATCTGGGCACTAATTCCCTCATAAGTAATAATAATAAGCGGGACCAAACGGCCTGCCTGGTTTCTTCAGTTATCAAATTCCATGGTTTCTAAGAGAACTGAAAAAACGCTTCACAGCATCACTACTGACACAGCACTTATATAGTGAGAAGTAGCAAGTTACAGATTTCACCAAAATGATGGGGAAGTAGTGAATGAAACCATCCTCTAAATTTCACTTACGGTTTTACCAGGAGTTTGTATTAAATATATATCGATGAACAAAATTCTATTAATGTGCTAGAAGAAAGCAAATAATTTTCAAGTATAGTTATGAAATGATTGAAAGTTATTAAAAAATTTTAAAGATTTTAGTTATTAATTTTTAGAGAGGGGGAAGGGAAGGAGAAAGAGAAGGGAAGAAACACTAATGTGTGGTTGCCTCTCTTGTGCGCCCCCTACTGGGGACCTGGCCTGCAACCCAGGCATGTGCCCTGACTACAAATCAAACTGGTGACCATTTTGTTCACAGGCTGGCACTGAATCCACTGAGCCACGCCAACCGAGGCTAAAATGGTTTTAAGAAGCAATAATGCCAGATAATATAAGATACACACTCAAGAGAATTTAAGAATAATTCTTAGATAAGATGCAAAGTTGGCAGAACAACTTCATGTAAAAGTGCTCCAGACTTCAGAGATCTCTGGTGAATAAGATTCCCTGTAGAATTCTGCTAGAAAAAGCAGTCGCTAATTCTGCAAAACATGCAGGGTCGCTGAACACTGACCAGGCTGTACACATACTGGGCAAGACCACTGAAGGCTCACCAGTTAACAGCCAACTGCTACAGGATCAAGTGTGGAACAGAGTCAAGAAGTGCAGAGGAAATGCGGTGTCAATATTGGATTTTTGGCCCTTGTCAGAGTGAACTTACTACACAGCTGCCACCTTGACAGCCAGCTGAGACACCAAAAAGGCTGCTCATTAGGAGTGAGAATTATGCCAAGGGGAAGACCTACTTTGGACTCACCCAACAAAGCTTAAAACTAAGTTCTGACAAGATTCTTTAGAGAGACAATTCAGGGAACGAAACCCACAAAGAGGGGCTTAGAAAACACCAAAGCCTTTCCAAAGTTCCCCTTACAAAGCACAAAACCAAGTTCAAAATGAACAGCCAACAATGGAACTGCCTGCCCAAAGATCAATCTCTTCAATGTATTACTCACAATCTCCACCTTTCAATCAGAAATGACCAAGCACAGCACTGACCAGTGTGGCTCAGTTGGTGGAGCATCGTCCCACAGGGAAAAGGGTCACCAGTTCGATTGTCAGAAGGGGCACATGCCTGGGTTGTGGGTTTGGGCTCCTCTCTTTCTCCCTCCCTTCCCTCTCTCTCAAAATAAAAAATAAATAAAATCTCTTTTAAAAAATGACCGAACACACAAAGAAATGAAAAAACACAAGGATGGGAAAGAGTAGGTTTACATAATACTCATAAATAATACAACAGTAAATAAATAAAGAATGGAAGAGTAACCTCTGTTTCACATACTCACAACAGGGAACCTGCCTGGTTTTGCCCAACCTGGTGTGATCCACCACAAAAAAAATGAACAAATAGAGAGAGATGGAGAACATCCCCCTTCACCACATTCTATAAAATATTAAACTCTTCGATCTTTGCTGAGTAATATTCCTATTATAAGTTGAATAGCTCTTCATATGCCTAAGATATTTATTTCCCTTCCCCTGAACTCTTTATATGCTTTGCCCATGTTCCTACTGACGAACTGAATTCCTGAACTTTTCCATATTGATTTGTAGATGATCTTCATATTTAAATAAGTTAATTTGTAATATGGTAAAAAAGCATTTTTAGGATTTCTCATTTAACTAGTGACTTGATATGCATACACTACTTTTTCTCAAGGCTGAACTTCTGAATTCTCATGTATGAACTCATCATTCTTTCTTTACCTTTACAGCTTCTGGGTCACCCTGGCCGGGTGGCTCAGTGCGTTCACTGAAGCGTCATCGCTGCGCCAAAAGGCTGTAGGTCTGTCCACCAGCTGGGTGTGTACAGGAGGCAACCAACTGATGTCTCTCTCTCACATCCACATGTCTCTCTCTAAAAATATCCCAATAACATATCCTCAGGTGAAGATTAAAAAAAAGCCTCTGGGTTTGGTATCACATTTTAAATAGGCTTTTCTGACTTAAGATCACAGAAAAGAATGTTCTTTTTTTTTCCTTGTAGCACTTTTAGTATTTTGTTTTTAATTTTTTAAAGATTTTAATACTTATTTTTAGAGAGAGAGGAAGGGAGGGAAAAAGACAGGGAGAGAAACATCAATGTGTGAAAGAAACACGGATCAGCTGCCTCTCACTCACCCCCAACCAGGGACCTGGCCGGCAACCCAGGCCTGTGCCCTGACTGGAAGTCAAACCAGCGGCCTTTCGGTTTGCGGGACAATGCCCGATCCGCTGAGCCACACCAGTCAGGGCTAATTTTTAAATTCTTGATACACCTAGAATTTACTCATTTACAGTATACAAAATATAGATCCATCTTTATTTTCTTTTGAAATGACTACATAGTTGTCCCAATACCGTATGTTTAAGGTAAATATTTTTCTTTCTTTCTTTACTATTTTATTGTTTACGCTATTACAGTTGTCCCCCTTTGCCCCTTCCGCCTAGCCCACCCTCAACTTGCATAATCAGCCCCACACCCCCGTCCATGTCCATGGGTCCTTCATCTATGTTCTTTGACTAAGCCCTTCATAAGGTAAATTTTTTCCTGCACTGTTAACCGCTTGGGCTCACCGACCTTAAGGCAGACAGAGCCAGTCACTGAAAGGAAGACTTACAAAGGGAGACCACATTAACATGCCATGTACCTCATACTCTGACTCCAGGGACACTTTACTCATTTTCAGTTTTTTTTCTAATTCAGGATCAATCTGTAAAAAAAAAAAAAAAAAAAAAAAGAGGGGCCATACATTATTCAAGTCTGTTGGATTTAATTTTCAACTTAAAGTCCTATAAGGGATGGCTATGACGGTAGATTACAAAACACGGCAAACTCTCCACCATTCATCCAGTCACAGAATGATGGCTGACGCAGTAGTACTGCCACCACTAACAGCAGCTAATATTTACTGAGTACTTGTTATGTGCAGGCATTTTGACACGTATTACCTCCGTTAATACCCTCAAAAGCCTGTAAGTATTATTAGTATGGTCACAACTGAGGATAATGAGAGTTTGGAAAATTTGTCAAAGAGGCAGAACTTGGCTGTGAACCACGGCCCTCTGCCTCCGGAGGTCCATGCTATTAACTACCACCCTCCATTATGTTACCACATAGAAATGTGAAAATACCAATAAATAGAATGCTGCTCCTGAAAACAAAAGAGAACACCTTCTACACTGGAAACGAAGTATCTGTGAAAACCGGACAGGATTCCATGGTGGTAAACAGAAGCTGATGCCACATTACCTTTGAGTGGCAAAGGTTTTAGGAAAGGAGGAAGTCGTGGCTGAAATTAATAAACAAACAAAACCCAAATTAAATGAAATGGGAGAGCTGAACAGTTACTGAACACAGGTAGAGACCACACTGGTCCACTAGGGTGCAACCTGAAAACCCACCAGAACGATGCACGAGGAGATGGGGTGAATGAAAGAAAAGGCGTGTCACGAGAGCTGGGTGCAAAAGTTCCAACACATGTCTTATTAGAGGTTTCAGAATTAGAGAGTAAAGAGAGTGAAATACAGGCAATAATTAAATAATTAATCAGTAATTAAATGAATGCCATACAGAAAAGAAATGAGTCCTCAGACTGAAAGAGCATAGTAAAAAAACAAAAAAGCCCATTCTTAATCAAAAAAGCCCATTCTTAATCAAGTAATGGTAAAGCTGTAGAATGTATCAGGGACAAAAAGAAAATCTCAAAAGAAAAAAAGAGTGAAAAAGCAATTTATCTACAAAGGGATGAAAATTAGAAAAAAAATGTTCATCAGCCACTTGAAATGGTGAACTAAAATGAAATTATTCTTCAATGTTGATTATGTGGAGAGGATTACTTTGACCTTCAATTTTATTTTTACTATATTTGCATTTCTTCTTTTAGCATTAGTTACTAAAGATGCATAGCAATATAATTTATGAAATTATTGGTGTTAATATGAAATAGCTAATTTACACCTGAAGTAATAAAATGGGGTGAAATTGTTGCCCCGTGTTCTTTAGTCCTCTCTAAATCCTAAAAGCAACTACACCAGAACACATGTTGTATCAGAATGCTAACAAGACTGCAAATTTCTCAGTGAATAAAGAGAATGAGCCCTGGCTGGTGTGGCTCAGCAGTTAAGGAACTGCAAATCAAAGGGTCACTGGTCCGATTCCCGGTCAGGGCACATGCCTGGGTTGCGGGCCAGGTACCCCAGTAGGGGGACATGTGAGAGGCAACCACACATTGATGTTTCTCTCCCTCTCTTTCTCCCTTGCAAAAATAATTAAATAAAATTTTTAAAAAGAAAGAATGATTATTAAATTCTTTATATTTCATGACACATTTCCATGTGATCATTAATGCTATTACAAAGAATAAGACCCTAATCATCATGGATCAGTCTTGAACAGCTAGATAAAAATCAGACTGCTTAGTATACTGAGTATACACACACCCTAAACCAGGATGTACATATACACAGACACATTACAAACTCCATTCATAGTTCTTACTTTAATCTTCACAGCATCATAACGGATTTGTGAAAACTCGCGAAGACCAAAAGAACCTCCAATAATCAATACCTGAAACAAAGAAAGGAAACAATTAAAAAAAAAATAGAAGGGCAGAATTCAGTCTACCTATAGATTACTTACCTAAATGCCAATAGTGACAGATTATACAAAATCCTGTAGATTATTTTTACTGGTTAGTTACCATTCATCTTTCAGAGTAGATGCTGTATATACTGCCATCTGCCACTGGGAAACATTTAGCACATTACCAAATACCAAAATCAGTACCCCATACCTGTACTTGACCTTATGGTTTAAATAATATCATCACAAGCATTGTATTAGTCAATCCTTACAAAAGACCTATGAACTAAAGAAAATAATCCATTTAATAGACAAGGAAATAAAAGAACAGCCAACTCACACAATGGATGGTGCCAGGAATACACTTCTGGCCTTGTTTCTTCAAGACAAGAATTCTGTCAATTTTATGACTTTACAAAATAAGACAACTGGAGAGATTTTTCTCCATTTCTTTACCAAGTGATAAAAGAATAGCAATCGTAAAAGCACCCTCGAATTGTTGTTGCTACTTTATCATCTATTCCAATAATTCAAAGGGCTTTAATTCTTCATCCCAAAGTTGCAAAGTCTAACAATTTGGAAAAACATTAAGTTTTATCCATACCTTCCTTTTATATCAATGTATTAATGATCGCAATTAAAGAAATACAAAAAGATATAAAACAATATGAAATATAAAAAGTTGGAATACCAACAAAATTTTGAGGCTATGAGTTTCAAAACCCAATAAATCTGACCACATAAAACTTAAAACATCTATCCCCAACACATAAAATTAAAACATAAAATCAAAAGACAGCAAATCAGGTACCTGTTATACATAAGCATCTAATACTTGCAATGTCAATATGAAAGAATGCTTTGTAAAGTGAAATAATCTTTATCTTAGTTTCAATGAAAAGACATACCCCTGTTTTCCTAACTTCTCAGTTTCCCTCTACTCATTCCTCACCCTTCCGACCATCACATCTCTCCTGCCTATTCACAACCAACAGAGTTCCTAAGGGATGTCTTCTAGTTTCATGGACTTAAATTTAGCCTCTATAACCTAACAACCTCCAAATGCATATTTTCAATGGGAAATATCCCTCTGAACTGAAGACCTCCCTTTCCTATTGGACATCTCCACCTGAAAGTCTAACAGGTACATACAAATTAACATTTTGTAAAAAGCCTTTTTACCCCAACCTGCCCCTAAGCAATCGTTCTCATCCTGCACGTCAACTACTTTCATCCAATTACTCAAGCCAATTTCTTTGGAGTCATCTTTAGCACCTCTCATTCCTATCTCACATCCAATCCAGCCCTGAGTTCTGTCACCTCGACTTTCAAAATATTTCTTGGCTCTGACAATTTCTGACTATATCCTCTTATAACACTATAGTCTAGGCTACTATCATTTCTTTCCTGGACTACTGTAATCACAGTACCCACAGGTGACAGACATTAGGGGGGAAAAAATGGTCTGGTCTTTGTCCGGGTGCCTGGGAGGGAATTACTCATTGGACTTTCCTGAATGCTTTATAAATATAAACACTGACCTCTCAAGGCCTGCTACGATGTGACAGGAGCCGCCATGTAAACACTCAATTCAAAAGGCTTTATTTAACTCAACAACGACCTTGGAAGAAACACGCCAATTCAAAAACAAGGGAAGTGAAAAATGGAGATTCCCAAAACTGTACAGTTAAGTAACTACGTCTAGTCCCAAAGATCCAGAGTATCGTCAAATCAGATGAGGCTGGCGGGGAGACGGGTTGGGGGTGTTGTTATCATTCAAATTTGGATTAAAATCTGGTTCTTTGGATTAAAAACGTCGCTCTCTGGAGCACTAGGGAAAATAAGAGGGGGACTAGAGGTCCCACTACCAGCCGGAGAAGACTAGAATAGGAATATAAACTCTCAACCGAACGCCAGCCGTTTCCTAGCTCGCGTCACTGTTCTCTGCCTCTTAATCCAGATTCCCGCAGGTAGGGATATTGAGGTCCCACCCCTTCCGCAATCCTGCCCGCACACTTTTTCTTCGAGGCACTCACCAACATCGGGACCCCATAGCGGAGGGTCTTGTTCTTGCGCAAGGCACGCGTTACCGCGTGTGTAAACATGCCTTAACTCTCAGACCCGCTGGGACACCGGCCAGGCAGGCCCAGTGCGGCCTCCCGAATCGCCACAGCTGGAGTTGCCGGCTCCCGGCCCCAGCCCGGGACGTCCCAGAGTCCTCTTCCGACCTTCCCCAGCATTCCACTTTATGGTCCTCTCATGTCAGACTTCCGCCAGGCAAAAGCAATCGATTCATCGTAACGTACTCACGCTACCGGCCGGGAACTTGAGAGTAGGAGCTTTGGTTCCGGCACGCTAGCTTGCTCTAGGGGCTTAGGGACTTAAATAGTATTTTGTACTCCTCAAGTGATATGGTAACCAGTACCTCACATGTTCTGGGCTTTGGCCAACATCTTCTACCTGGGACATAGCCGCTCGATAAAATCAACTAAGGGAAAAAAAGTAAAGTTGGAGATAATTCCTATGGCTATTTGTGTCAGTTGTCTCCTGATCTTTTGGTCTTACTATATACCTTAAGTATTCCATTAATACACAATATTTAAAATAGGTAGGATAAAACTATCAATCCTTTCGTATTCCCTGTCTTCTATTTGCACTTGGAGCGACATTTCTTTCTGTGACTAGAAGCAAATAATTTTTCCATGAATAAGTTTTCTCCCACGTAACATTATTTTCTTAAACTCAATACAAAAGGCAGGGGCAACGTGATAGAGTATTAGGAGCACAGAAAAAGTTCTAGTTCCGGCTTCAAATCTTGAGTGTTAATATCCAATGCTATCTACTAAGGACATTAACCACTCTTCTCTAAGTTCTGTTTTTCCATTTTTTTAATGGGTTAGAAACGTTGAGAAATAGAGGCGGGAAGAACCGGGTGATCTGATCCAAGTGCTTTTATTTATTTGATGCTGCACGGAGAAGCGGGCTGAGTCGGGTCAACTACAGCCCCAGGGGAAGGCAGGAGAGAGGTTTTTAAAAGAAAAAGCTCGGGGGTTGTGAGGGAATAAGGGAGAGGTTGGTCTCCTGTTCTCCCAGGCGGGTGCCTCAGGGTTCCAGAATGTGAGCCGGGACAAGTTAGGTAAAGGGCGGGGCTGTTCCCAGGTACAGGAGGGTCCGTCTGCCCACAGGCTATTGTGGCTCGTGCCAGGTGTCTATTGTGCTCTGTGTGAGTTTTGATTAAGCCTCGGGCAACCAAACCAGTCTGGACGACTGAGTCACACGCAGTCCAGAGGGGTGGAAACTGGCCTGACTCGGTCATTAGTGTCTGGAGAGTGGGGGTCTGGCCTGACCATTTCAAAATGGGGGGGGGGGGATTTGAATCTAATAAAGTTACGTAAGCACGATGGGACTTGTACTACAAAGTGCCTGGTGAGTACTTAGTATCACTAGTATTTTTATGTGAATCCTTGAAATTCTAACGATGCCCTGGCCATGATCGGTACCCAGTCAAGTCTAGCAATGGTCATTCTCCCACTCATTTCCAAAATTACATCAGAAGAAATTTTTTGTTGGACTTGCCTGGCTTCTCCTTCTTGGATGAGATTTACACACACACACACACACACACACACACACACACACACACACACTCTCCTAGGAAATGTGTCAATGCTCTTCAATCTGGAACTCAACAGGACCAACACTGGAGAGCTTTCTCCTCTGGATTTTACTCCTAAAAGTCCATCTCAACCTGCAGTTGTCTTTGTTAGTGGTCTTCAAACTGCAGTCTGGCAAGGCCTGCTGTTTTTGTGAATAAAATTTTACTGGAACACAGCCACGCATTCGCCTATATGCAGTCTATGGTTTCTATCACAGTAAAACTGCAAAAAAAAAAAAAAAAAGGCCCATAAGCCTAAAATATTTATAATCTGGTCCTTTATGAAAAAGTTTGCAGACCCCTGGTCTTTGCTGTTCAAATTGTCTCCTTTCTTTGGTGGATTAAAAATGACTACAAATTATTTGCACTACCTCCCATAAAGGGGTGAAGTTTAGGTGACTTCTCCAAGTGACTTGGCACTTGACCATGGTTGGGTCTGGCCAACAGGACAGCAGCAAATGTGAACAATGCAAAGGTTTGATTAGTGCTTTCCACACTGGGACTTGCCTTCTTGAAACACTAAGATACCCCCACCTGGAGCCCATTCTATGAAGATGAGAAGCGATGTGGAGAACCAAGGCATACCAGCCAATGGCCAGCACTAACTCACAGACAGGGAAGAGAGGTCATCGAGGACTACCTCCCTCTGTTCTGCCATCAGATGAATTCAGTTGCATGTGACCCCAGGTGCTAACAGGAGGAGAAACACTCAGACAATCCACAGAATCTTTTTTAAAAATTTATTCAAACATGGTTAAGTCACTATGTTTTGCAGTGGCTTGTTATATATAATTGTTAACTGATGTACTTTCTTGCCCATCAAGGGGGAAGATGGCCATTCTGTACACACTACAGCTATAGACTAACACTTTGACTCCAAGTCTGCACTATGCTGTGTGACAGACCAACGGTGACCAATGTAAATTGACTTTTCTGTTCATGTCAGCTATACGCAGAGTAACTTCAGCAAAAGGTCAATATTCAGTTCCAACAAGGCCTTTTTTATCCTATGGCACAAACCCATTTTTGCTTTGTCTGTATCTTGTAAGCCTCTGGGAGATGAAGGGGCCACAAGATACCAAAGGCTGGCAATCGACTTCAAACTTTGGGTATAAATACAGGATGGTACTGCTACTGCTATTTTGTACCTAGTGTAGTCAACTCCCTGTTTTCTGTAAAGGAAGAAGGCTGGGCTAGCAGGGTTGAACCAAACTGAGTACAATAAAGTTAACATTCTGGGATGGTGAATAGTGGACTCTTCATTGGCTTGCAGTAAATTCCCAGGTTTGGAATCTTGAACAAGTTCTTAACCTCTTTAAACCTTGAGTTACACAAATGGGATCACTGATACTAACTTGGATGGTTGTGAGAATTTGTTGACATTAGTTATGTCATTATGACATTAGTTATACAAAAGGACAGCTCAGTGTAGTGCCTGGCAACATAGAGAACAGGGACAGTGTGGTGCCATGGTTATGTATGTGGGTTCTAGCTGTATAACTTGGGCAAATAACTTCATCTTCCTAAACCTTGGTTATTTCATCTGCAAAATAGGGATAACAGCAGCTGCTGTGAGGTTTAAGTGAACAGCTGCTTAGAACAGTAGCTGAAATATTGTAAAGAGGTGAATGCTTGTTAGCCATTTATTAGTAGTACAAAACAGTACCCTTATCCTTAGCTCCTTAGTCAAAGCTAAGCCTCAAATCAATAATTTAGATTCCTCTTTCTTCTTTCCATTGTTCTGACAGAGGTGCTACTATAAGAAGTTGGAAAAAAAATTCAACAATCTCCAAACTAAGGTGGATTATAAAGATTCACTTACAAATGCAACACATTTATTGAATGCCAACACTGAGCTAGGCACACCTAGTTAAGCTATTGTCTCATCTGCTGTATCTGGTATCAAATAGCTGTGGAAGCAAAGGGGCCACATACTGATCTGAAAAGCTCAGGTGAGGCCTGTGTGGCAGACTTACAAACTCAGACCTAAAGTAACCACAAAAGATGGCCTGAGATTAAAACTTACTAACTAAAAGCAGTTCATGGTGGGTAGTCACGTCCTAGGCTAGTTTCTTCCCCTAACAAAGGTCAATCTTTACCTTAACCGAGCCTCTCTGTTGCCTTTTGCATCTAAGATAACATACCCTTGGACTGTCAAGATAATTCCCTTTTATCCAGACCCCTCAGAGCACACTCTCCTACTAGAGCAGACCTCTGGGAAGCCTCTCATTGTCATCTTGTTCCCCCCATACCACCTCTGTGTGCTGTAAATGTTCATGCTTAACTATGGTATACCCACCAATGTCAAAGTATGTATCTCTCCATTTTAGTTTTTATCCAGTCCCAGAGATTCTTCCCCTTTGTTTTCTCCCACCTCCCTAATCTATCACTAATGGAGTTAATGTAACCCCCTCAGGCCTCCTCCTTTGATTGTAAGGTATAAAATAAGGTGCTAAACTTCCATTCTCCGGAGCATCATCTCAACTTGCTCCGGAACCAGAGGTTTTGCTTCCCAGCCACTTGCCGTCAGTTTGGCTCAAATAAACTCACCAAAAATTCTCTACATGTTTAAATGTTTCTTACGTTGACTCAGCAAAGATTAAGGCATTTTCATCTATTCTGATGGCCTCACTAACATCTTTAATGTGTAATATTCCCTAGAAGATACAATTTTATGTCCAAGTGTCTTCCAAATTGGCTACAGGGCATCTATTTGCCATTTAAATTCAGTTATGCAATGTGACATTAAGATCAAAGTAGAAAGGAAGCAAAATAAAATAAGGTTCATAAGGCAATTAATCTTATAAGAAGTAATATGGCCCAGGGGTAAAATGCACATATATCCAGTAATAATAAATTCATATTTAAATAAGCACTGCAGGTACAGAATTAAAATAGAATTCAATTTTGTGATTCCATTTACCAGTCTGCAAACTAAGAATTATCATCTCATTGTCCTGGGATTGGTCAATAAATTTAATGATTACAGTAACTACAAAGTTCTTTTGTAAATGACTGTTAATGATCAAGTTGCATATGAAAACATACTCCAGGCCTCTCCCTTCCCTTTTCACTCTGCAGAAAAGAACATGAACAGTAGGGACAACATGTGGAAACAAGACCTAGAGTTTGCTGTAATTTGATTCTTCAGACACGGCAATGCTGTCTTAGAATATATGTCATTACATTATCATCAAGTATATCAGGTAAGTAGATCAAGTGCTTTGTAATCCACATATAAATATCAACATCAGGCAAGAGTCTATGGCAGTTAAGAACCTGGTTCAGATGAGAACAGAATTCCTTAAAATACTGTCTCCCTTCTGATCACAACTGCCCTTTGGAACACAAGCGCTGGTCTCAAAGATTTGCAGATAAAAGAGAAAACAAAAGGGGCTCACCCCTAGATTGGAATTACAAGGTGTAACCCTGTAACAGCTGGGGGGAGGTAGAGAGCTTCATAACTCGATCTTCTGCTTCTAGGTGATGTTAGTAAAAAACATTAAAATCATCAACAAATACACCACTTTTCAATCATGAAATTTCAGCTCAGAGTGACTATACCTTATTTACCTTTGTATCTTCAGCACCTGAATGAAGGGAAAACCTTCATCTGTCCAAAGATACATTTCAACTAAAGTTGACTAGAATAAAATCTTTATTGGCTCCACATGAAAATACATCAACTCCACTCCTCCGCATACTTAAAAATTTAGTGTTCCTTATGTTACTTCATTTCTTTAAATATCTGAAGTTGCTTATTTACACAATAAAAACAATGTCCAATGTCAAAAAAACATACGTCTCTAGAACAATTGGAATTAGTCTCAGAGGAACTCATTTAATTGAATCTGATATTAGATCTTTCTCAGATTATGTGGCATTTCCCAATTATGCATGTTTGCAACACCCTTAGGCAGTCAGTCAGTTCTTCTGGTCTTTATCAAAGACCCAGAAGAGAGAAGATGGAAGTAGATTGAGATAAAAAGGAGTTTTGTACATGTTCATGTAGTGGATACATTCAAGATATAAAGATGAGACAGAAAAAGCACCTGTTCCACAAACTAAGTCTGTGATCTGGGTTAAGTTAGCTCACTCCTCTGAGCCTCGACTTTCTCATTTAGAAAAAGATTCTAGGATAGATCTTTCTAGTTCCTTTTGCTCCAGCATTCTACAGTTTGGTTCAAATTTAACAGATGCACAACCTGAAACACTAATACATTTTGCTGGAGACTGATCAGTCCTTAGCGAATCAGAAGCCAAAGAACGTTCCACTTCTTATTCCACATCCCTACTCACGGCAGACACTCACAGAGTTGGCCTCTAAAAAGGCCCAAGTGAAATCCCCAATTTTGACTGGAGGAATGCTGTATGTAACTTAAACGGTGTCTAGGTTAAAGTCCCATCGAGTGTTTTTTGCTGCTACTGCACACTAGTCACCTAATGAACTTTGTTTTATGGGGCCTGACCCCCACACCCAGAGTCTACTGACTGGGCCTCAGTGCAGCCTGGGCATCAGGATTTTTTACAAGCTCTCCAGGTAATTCTAATCTGAGAAAATGGGGACAATTATTGGCATACAGAAGTGATTCTCAAACTTTAGCTGAATCAGTCACCTGGAGGGAGTATTAAAACAGACTGCTGGGTGACCTGCCTCATTCCCGATTCAGTAGGTCTGGGGTAAAGCCCAAGCATCCGCTTTTTTTAGCAAGTTTCCAAGTGCTGTTGATGCTTTTAACCAGAGGCCTCACTTTAAGAACCACTGCCAGTGAAGAACTATCACTGACGCTAGCACCTGAAGTCCTCAGTTGAAATTCTGATTCTGTTATCACCACTTATGCAATCTCAGGAAAGTAACTTTATTCTTCTTCAGTGTCTTTATAATAATACTTAGTCTCAGAGCTGTGAGGCATGAACAAATAGTGTTATCAATCAGGGTTTTAGCACAGTACCTGGCACAGAAGGCAGGAACAAATATGAATTTCCCTTTTCCACTGCACGTGGCTAGATGGTGTGACTGATTACACCAAGAGCATAGCTGAAAACCAGGCAGGAAAAGGAAATAGGTGACTGAAGCTAACAATGTCTTAGTAGGATTACATGTATAATACAGAAAAATATAGAAGTATTTTAAGTACACAGTCTTAAAAATACTTACATTCATTTTTTTAAAGCTTTGAACACAGTAATTTAGGTGGTAGAAATAATTGGATACAATCTATAAAGTGGCAGGAATATTAGATTCAATTTATAAACAGCATGGATTTTTTTAATGACCCACAATGGACTCAAATCTTATCTATGATAAGAATCAGAAATAAAAATATAATAGCATACCTGCCTAAAATGTTAATATATTGACTTTAAATGCTACTTAAATCCAGAGAAACCCTAAATTTTTAAAGTGCATCAGAATCCCTATTATCAACATAAAACTTCTATTAATGGTGGAATACGTGTTCTTTATTTACATATACCAACAAATAAAAAATTAAAAATAGCTTTCCTTCCTGCTTGCCATTTTGTTTCATTTTGTATGTATGCCTCAGGTCCTTCCAAGAGTTACTGTCCAAACCCTGAGGTGGGTCCGGGGGGCAAGCAGGCCCACTGTGGTGGCAGCCCACACCTCCAGACACAGGGAGGGCCCCAGGGCTGTGCCTCCACAGCAGGGTGGGTTGAGGTGACAACTGAAATACTGTCAGTGTTTCTCTGTGGAACAGACAAGTACAATGGTCTAAGTGAGTCTCAAAGGTAATGAACAGTCCAGGCAGGCTCAAAGGTGTAAGTCACATTAGCACTGTCCAAAGCAAGTTTCTCCCTATAGGACTATTTGACCCAGAGGCAAAATCTTACTGGGACTTTTATTTTTAAAAGCCTTCTCTTTCCACTCTGACCTCACGTCATTAGGTAACAACTTTCTTTCTCCAAACACCTTAGAAAAATGTCATGACTCTCTGCAGATCTTTTTTTTTTTTTACTGTATTATGTTATGAATATAACCATTTCTTTTATAACTGTTTTCAACTGTTATTTAACCTGATGGTGTATACTTTTAAGTTCTCATGCACTTAAGAATTCTTTAACTAGACTGTGAGCTACTCAAGGGTCCTTAAACTTGTCCCCTTCCTCCAGGGAACTTTCTCAAGTGTTTCACTTCTCAGTAGATGCTCCCTTTAGGTGCCTGCAATATATATTTGACACCTACTCCCAGTGCCCTGCCTATGCAGCTAATTCCATTTTTATGTGTATAGGTACTCTCTTCCCAACTGGAACCAAAAAGCCCTTTAGAATGGAAGCTATGTGTATTTATTTCTTTGTAGAATGTCTTAACAATGCTAATGTCCAATCAACATTTGTAAAACACTTAACTAGATCATCTGTGCTAAAAATTTGACACAACCGATACCTAAGGGAAGGTCCTTGTACTCCTGTCAAGATTATAAGGCCTATAATCTAGCTGGCATATTTGGAAGATGGAAATGATTTTCTTAAAGCCAGGAAATTAGCCTTGGTTCAGCTTTCTTTAGTGCTTTAAAACCAACCTTCAATACCCCCAAACCAGGACATCCCCACCTCATTATTAACCTTAGTATTTCCCAGCATCCATTCATCTGTATCCTCCTCTCAACGCTTCCCTATGAAACTTCCGTGCTCCCTAAAACAAACAGATCTCTTTTCTCCCCCTTCCCTGGAAAGTAGTTCATTCATTAAAAGCCATAACTAGTGTTTGGAACCTTTAAAAAAAAAAAACTAAATCCGAACCCTCTAAACCTAACTGAATCAGAAGCAAAGCTGATTTCATGCCCATCCTGCCAGAAAGCAGCTCTGCTCTCAGATTTTTCCTGCTGCGAGAAACTGGAAGACTGGTTGATGGCCTCAGAGGGTTCCAGTCCCACCTTGGAGGCACTAGCTTTTCTCATTACTGAGTTCCTCCATGGGCCTGGTCTGGCCCCATCACTACAGCTCTGACCACAGTCACTCAGCTGATCCTCTAATAGGACTGTGAGGCATCAAAAAAGTCACTAGGGTAGACCAGAGATCGGTTAAGATTTACCTTTAAATCTCAAAGTTTTTTGAGCAGATTGACTTGTGCAAAGATGGATTATGGCATTTTATCTCCACATCACCTTAACTGTTATGAGAGGAGATGAGAATTCTAAGATTTTTAATTGGTTGCTTCAGTTTCTCTTTCTTTCTAATAATTCAGGTTTGGCATCCTGTACAGCTCACTCTCTCACTCCCTCAGTTAAGATCATCGTTACATCAGAAACCTAGACACCGGGGGAGCAGCTTCCTACCTCTTTAACTCTCCATAAGGCATCACTGTCACACTATAATTTATGCATATGTGTATACATGTGTGTGTGTGTGTATATATATATAGTTTTTTTAAAGTAAAAATGCTCTCCCCATTATATTTTGTTTGATATAGGCACTCAAGTATGTAGTTATACAGTAAATAAAGGCCACAAAAACTTCCCAAGGAAGATCATTAAAAAGAAAAAAATTCCCTCTACCTCTTCTATCATAGAGCTGGTCTTTGAGGCACGCCAGCTAAGGAAATAGGTATCACCAGTGGTGATGGGAAGACTAGACCTTCCCCTCTTTGGGCTGTAGCTGAACTTCTATTGGTGGCCCTAGTGAAATACAGAACTTCTCATTTGTTCTAAGCAAGTCTTTTTTCTTCAGCTTTCCTTCAAACACTGCCTTTACTCTGACATTACAACACTAGGACTTGCAGATTTTGAACAGCAAGGTTCTGGTTGGGAAGCAGTCTCTTTGAATCACCTGTGAGCTATGCAGAGAGAGGGAAAGATATGGGAGAACGGCGGGGAAGGAGGATGAGAGAAGAAAGAAATGTTCTCTTCACTGGGAGCCCTGGAAGAAAGCAAGGTTTTCAAAGTTGTTGCCGGTATCTCATGAAGGCCCAGGCTGCTACCATGGTGAGGGCAAAGAGTGGCACCAGCACCATAGCCACGGGAATGCCGGTCGGATCCCCTTCACCTCGATGTCCTATTGGCCCGTTTTGCACCTGTAACTAGAAGGGAAAGAAAAACATTAGCTTTAGTGACCAATGTGTGTCTACCCCACCTGAAATGTCCAGGTTAACTAGTACCTGAGTCTAAAGTCTCCAGACTACCCAACGCTGCACACCCAAGCAGTACCTATCAGAGGTGGGGTGGGGGTCCTCTTGGTTTGTCCTCACCCGATACATCAATGTCACCGATTCTTTGGAAACAAAACATGTCTGATGGGAAGGCATTTAACTTTCTGTGCTATTGACCAAAAGGGATCCCTGAAGTTAAGTCAGGTAACGTCCTTCTGCTTTCGTACTGCCTCCACCAAGCTGCATGTGCACCGTACCAGGAAAATGAAGACATGAGGTGAAGTCTATCGATCCTGTAAGGATCTTGAAAACTACTGGGCAGGACATGAGGGACATCCATCTTCCTAGAATGTTTACTCAGGAAAATTATCAGTCATCAGAGTGCAGTAAGAGGAGATCTGAGCAGTGTTATTTAAACTATCGTATCTAAGCATAAACTGCACACAGTGTAATGCCATTACTCAGAAATCCTTTCACTGTCGAAAGACACCGCTCCCTCCCAAGATGGGGTCAGGTCCTTCCTCCCTTATGTACTAGCAGACACAGACAAAGGTGAAACCTATATGATATGGAGGTAAACAGAATCAGAGGTAAATAAGTCAAAAGAAATCACATCCAAGCATTGATTTAAGAGAGAATAACTTTAAAGGTACATTGAACCTATGTTGCAGATGCCTTCCAAAATCCTTGCTATATGGAAGGACTTTTGTCTACAGGCTTCTCTTCCCATCATTCAAATCATATAGACCTAGGAAGGAAGAAGAGGATACAGGGATAGGTGCTGCCTTGACTGAATTCTGAATTTCACTTGCATTTTCCTGGAGCTTCCTCTAAGCGTCAGAGCTTCAGTCAGGTGAGCCACCGAGTTGATAATGTCAGGGCTCAGAGCAGTGACAGGGAAAGGCACATAGTAAGTGGGTATGAGAAAACCCACCACCATCTTTGTATTTAGAGTTTTATAAACAAGAATGCTCAATGACAGACATACATTTTTCCTTCCCTACTAAAAAAAGTGACTGTGGTTGTATTTTTCCTCCATCTATTTTAATTTGTTGTCAAACTTTATCTGTAAGGCACGTTTCCTTGAAGCTAGGACCTGGGTTGCAAGAATACTGTCACGAATTTCTTTTCATGCTAAGCAGAGCTCCAGAAGACTCCTGCTAGACAAGCTCCTCAAAAGAGTGGGAGTGAAAGGGAAAAGAGCCAAACACACCACTAAAGAGCACAGCACAGGGTTTATTCACAAGAACGGCATGAAAGCCTGGTACCAGGCTGCTCACTGCCAACGACAGGACACCCACCCTGTGCTGCACCCTCAGAGCCACGGCGTAGCCTGCGTTCCGGAAGAGATCCACCGCATCCTGGTGCAGCAGGTTCTTTAGGTCTTGACCATTTACCTGTCACAAACAGCAAGAAAAAGCAGTAAGAGGTAGAATGTAGACTCTCTGAAGTCAAGGATTTACTTTCATGGGACCGAACATTTACAAAACAAACTCCTACAGAGCAAGTTCCAGGGGTTCGGAGAATCGGTAAAGTCACTTAGAAGTCAGTGTGATTCTTTTCATTTTCAAAGCTATGTTTTTCTAGAACTGAGGTTCCAAGGGCCATTTGAAGAGCACTTAAGTTAAAAAAAAAAAGTAATCTCCCTTTCATCTTGGCTCTACACACTGTCTCACTTGGCATTCTTACTGTATTTGTGTGTCTTCCATGAGCACCAGCCTGGCTTCCTACAGCCGCCATGGTCTTCGGGGTTCTTTCTCACCCCTGGCACTGCCAGCTTCAACTCTAGAAATGTAATTATATGAAACTCACCCACAATTTGTTTTGATGTGGTATTAATCTACTAGCCCAATCTATTGGTCTTGCTCTATTGTGAGCAATTTCCCTTGATTCCATTGATGCTCCTACCTTCCTCAAGTTTACTGAAGAACATGTTTCTGTGATGATACAAACTCAAACTCCTAAAAAATGTTTCAGGGTGCATCAGTCCTATCACTTAGAGGTGAGAGATGTGACAGACTACTGGTATTAATATTTCTTACTGTTGGGACTGACAGCAGCCACAAGTGGTATCTACCCCATACCGCACTGAGTGACCCAGCATAGCTCACTTTACCGAGGTCTGCGCATCTTTCATGCATGTCAATGACATCAACAGCAACAGCAGCAAAAACATCTCATATATTTAATTGGTAGACTCTGTGCTATATACATTATGAATTATCTAATTTAATTCTCACAATAATCCTATGAGGTAGAAACTATTTTTTATCTTGTTTTCACAAATGAAGAAACTAAAGCTTAGCAAGGTTAGGTTATTCACCCAAAAGTATAGTAAGTGTAGGGGCTAGAGTTAGGGTTTTTAGATACCAGAAAGAAGAATAAAGTGGCCAGCATTTTACTGCTCCTCCTACACTATTCCTCTACTTTGACTCACCAACTATTCTTTGCTCAGCTGAACCTCAAATCTTATTAAACCCCCTCATCTTCATTGTCACCGTGTTTCTTCTCCTAGAGGGTCTTAATCTTCCCGCTCTACCTCCTGCCAGAATCCTTGGTGGATTCATCTACCAACAATTTGGCTTTCCCAAATTCAAGTTTCTAGCTCTATTCCATCTTAGTCACCAACAGGCATAATCCTTGGACTTCACCATCGGGCAGTAAACTCGTCACCAAACCCCAGTGCCCCTTTTCAGTCTTCAGACCACCTCCTCCATTTTGCAGTTCTGTCCTGTCTTAATTATGAAGACTTAGCTCTTAGCTCTTGAACTACTCCTTTTCTAATCCCTTCTTTCTTCCTGCCTTCTTAAGGTAAATATTTCTCAGTGTCAGTTGTCTTTTGTCCTCTTACGTTTTCTCCCATGTGATTTCTCACAATTTTAACCACAATCTGCAAGACCCCTGAACCTGTACCCCTACTTCTACTGCTGGATTTACCGACTTCCTGCTGGATGCCTACACCTGGATATTCTGCTAGACCCCAACACCTCCAAGTCCCATGTCCTCTTACCACGTCCCACAAAACCAGACCATTCCGACCTCCTTCTAATTGGCACTATCAACCCTTCAGAATAAAATTTTGATACATTTTTTTTTGGTTTTTAAAAACTTTTTATTGTTAATATTTTTAAACTCCACTCTGTCAATCTTCACATACAATATATTGCCATTCCTCTAACATAATGACATCCCTCACATGCTATTATTTTGTTTCTACTATCTCTCTTTAGGCTGTGGACACTTTTAGTTGAACTACTGTAATCACCTTTCTGCCTTACCTTCCTCTATCTCTTCTGTTCTACCCTACTCAAATACTATGTCTCCAGATCAATCTTTCTCATGTATATCACAGTATGGCTCAAAAACAAAAACAGAAGTGGGAGGAGGAGAGGAAAGCATGCACGACTGACTTCCGATTCTGAGATGCAAAGTCCTCTAGGAAATAGCTGGAACCTACAATACGTTCCCAATTTAATGTATTACTTGCTTTCGTATAGCCTATGCTCTAACTAAATCACATAACTCATTGACTCTGGGACCAAAAAAACCCCATGTATTCTTACTTTCATACCTGTGGTTAAGCTATAGCCACCATCCGAATATCCTTTCCTTTAAGAAAATTCTATTTATCTTCCAAGATTGATCTTAAGTAGGATTAGTCCTGGTGCCCATAGTGTAGAAATGAACACAGGGCTTTCTAATTGATGAACTTTGATTTCATGCTACCAAGCCATGTTCTGATTTTTGTGTGTGTGTGGGGGGGCGGTAGATATGCTAACAGGGAAGTTAACTTTGAGATTTCTTAACTGAGTCATTCTCAACTTTTTAGTTAATTCCTGGGGGAGAGTATAGGCATGAGAGGCTGATTATAGTGAGAATACTCACTTAACCAATTTAGCCCATGTGATAACTGTAATTAGCATTTTAAGAAACAGGTATTTATTTTCTTTCAGAGACATACAAGTAAGTTAAGGATGCAGTCATGTTAATAAAAAAAAAAGGTGTCAAAGCTCAGTATCAGAGCCAAGTTTCATAGTAATATGAATGCAAGTGGGAGAACTATATGACATTCAATGGCAAGAATACTGAGTTCAAAATAATCTTTGCCATAGTAGTCAGTAACGATTGCTAGGAATCACTGCATATTTATTACCATCTCTGCAGCTGCCTATTCATTTGCGTACACTAAGTTATCCGGTCCTCCCAATCACCCTGTGAGTTAGGAGCCCCCGTTTTACTGATAAAACTAGAAAGGCTATGCCACCTCTGCATGGGCACATGTAATGGAGGCAGCACAGCCAGGATTCAAAGTCAAGCTGCTGGGCCCCAAACGTTTACTTTAAAACACAAAACCATATAAATTTATACTGTAAGCAAAGATTTTATTTCAGTAACATATCACCATCCATCACATGAATGTCATAAACTGAATTTTTATTGATTTGCAGTGTCCTCTGTATTTAATATGTAACCCATTGAAAATGTAGAGTTGTATGAAAATATGAAGTTTTTATTGTTTTTTCCATTTTTAACTATTTTTAAAGTATCTTTTACTGATTATGTTATTACAGTTTTCCAAATTTTTCCTCTTTTATCCCTGCTCTGCCCTGCCCCTCCAACCCTCCAGCAATCCCCCACCCTTAGTTCACGTCCATGGGTTGTACACATAAGTTCTTTGAGTCCTCTGTTTCCTATACCATCTATTTTATGCCTACTGATCATGCTTCTTCTTCCCTGTACCTTCTCTCCCCTATTCCTCCCTTCCCACCCCCCATTGAAATCCCTCAATGTGATATCCATTTCTCTGATTCTGTTCCTATTCTAGTTGTTTGCTTAGTTTTTTTTTTTCGTTTTTTCCTTTAGATTCATTTATTGATAGTTGTCATTTTACTGTTCAGTTTTTGATCTTCTTCAATTTCTTAGATAAATCCCTTTAGCATTTCATATAATAAGGGCTTGGTGATGATGAACTCCTTTAACTTAACCTTCTCTGGGAAGCACTTCATCTGCCCTTCCATTCTAAATGAAGGCTTTGCTGGATAGAGCAATCTTGGATGTAGGTCCTTGTTTTTCATGACTTGGAATACTTCTTTCCAGCCCCTTCTTGCCTGCAAGGTTTCTTTTGAGAAATAAGATGATAGTTTTAAGGGCGCTCCTTTGTAGGTAACTCTCTCCTTTCCTCTTGCTTCTTTTAGAATTTTCTCTTTATACTTAATCTTGGGTGACTTAAAGATGATGTGCCTTGGTGTGTTCCTATTTGGGTCCAAATTCTTTGGGACTCTCTAGGCTTCCTCGACTTCTTCGCCAGATTGGGGAAGTTTTCCTTCATTATTTGTCCAAATAAGTTTTCAATTTCTTGCTGTTGTTGTTCTCCTTCTGGTGCCCCTATAATTCGGATATTGAAATGTTTCAGGTTGTCCCAGAGGTAAGACTACATTTTTTTGAATTCTTGTTTCTTCATTCTGTTCTGGTTGGATGTTTATTTCTTTTGCTCCAAATTGTTGCTTTGAGTCCTGGTTTCCTTCCTGTCACTGTTGGTTCCCTGAATATTTTTGCTTTATTTAATTTTGGGTATCTTTCATTTGTTTATTCATTTTTTGACCCTGTTCAATCAGATCTGTGAGCATTTTGATTACCAGGGCTTTAAATTCTCCATCAGATAGGTTGGCGATCTCCTCGCTTAGTTCTCTTTCTGAGGTTTTGCTCCGTTCTTTCACTTGGGCCCTATTTCTTTGTCTTGGAGCAGCTGATAGGTTGTAAGGGGGCGGGGCAAGTGTCGTTGCTGCCTGTGAGGGCGGGGCCAGAGAGGGAACAGTGCAGCTTGCCTGCTGGTCCCTAGTGCACCTTCCAACAACTCTCGTGTGGGACTGGGAATTTCTCCCACTGTGGCAACTGTGGTAGTCCACTGTCAACTGAGTCTCAGTTTCCCCTTAAGTCAGCCCCACCCACCTGGTCGACTGCCTCACCAGTCTGGTTGTTCTGATTTTTTCTTTAACTCCTTGGTTGTCGGAGTTCCATGCAGTTTGATTTTCTGGCACTTCCGGTTGTTTATTGATTTTAGATTGGTTGTTATCCTCCTTTTGGTTATACAAGGAAGCAAAGGGTTTCTACCTACACCTCCATCTTGGCTAGAACTAGTTTATATATTGTTTTTATTTATCTGTATATATTGAAGTAGCATTGAAATCTTAAAAGCAATTTAGTTAAATGCCACTTCACTGACAAGGCCTTTTTAGATGTGACTGATCTGCTCCTTTGATTGTCCGTACTATGTAACCATCTTAAAGCTCAAACTAAAATCTGCCTTATATCATATCATTTTATATTCTACTGTAAATAATCTGGAGAGGCTGTATCTCAATTCATCATTATAACCCTAATAATACCTGAATTAGTA